GGTGTTCAAGGCCAGGTTGGATGGGGCCCTGGGCAGCCTGGGCTGGTATTGAATGTGGAGGTTGGTGGCCTTGTGTGTGGCAGGGAGGTTGGAGCTTCATGATCCTTGAGGTCCCTTCCAACCCTGGCCGTTCTGTGATTCTGTGATTCTGTGAGATGGGGACATGGGAGCGTGGGGACGCAGGGGTGTGGGGACACAGAGACACGAGGACATGCGGATGTAGGGACGCAAAGCAGGGGGGACACAGGGACATGGGGGACAGTGGAGTCACAGGGCTGAGGACATGGGGATGTGGCGACACGGGGAGGCGGGGACATGGGGATATGGGAGTGCGGAGACAGGGACGTGGGGACACGAAGATACGGGGATATGGGGACGTGGGGACAAAGCGACACGGGGACATGAAGACGGGGACGCGGCGTTGTGGGGACGCACACATGTGGGACCCCCCATAAGAACATGGGGACACGAGGGCACGGAGAGACGGGGATACAGGAACACGGGGGGGCGGGGAGCCGGGCGGCGAGGACCTGGCGCCGAGGGCACGGGGGACGAGGGGAGGCAAAGGGGGACCCACAGCGCCCCCCGGCGGACCTCCAGACGCTCCCACAGTCCTCCACCACCGCCGGCCGCCAGGGGGCGCCGTGCCGGAAGCGGCGACGGGGATCGGGGGGCGGCCCCTCCGCCCGTTGCCGTGACGACGCGGGGCGCGGTCAGCGCGGTTCCACCCCGCAGCGGGGAAGCGGCGGCGGCGCATGCGCAGTGCCCGCCCGGTGCCGGCCCGGACCCCAGAGCGCTGCGGGCGGCGGAGAGCGGCGGGGGCGGCCCGAGCGGTGAGCGGGGAGCGGTGGGAGGGGGGCAGCGCGGCGGGGAGACGGCGCGGCGACGGGGAGCGAGGGGGGGGGTCGGCGCTGCTCTGTGACCGGGAGGGGACGGGGGGTCCGAACGGCCCTGCGGGATGGAGCGGCCCTGCGGGGGGGGGGGGCGGCCGTTGTGGGGCTGCGGGGCGGCGGCGTTGGGGCTCGGGCACGGCGGCGGCACGGGGCTGGCAGAGCGCTGGCACGGCGCGTCCCGCATCCCTGCCGTCCCGCATCCCTGCCGTCCCGCATCCATCCCACGCCCTCCCTGCGTCCGTCCCGCACCCGCCCCGCACCCCCGCACCCCGCTCCCGTCCCGCCGCTTCTCCCCGACGCGTTGTTTTTTGGTGTTTTTTTTTTTTTTGCGCTGTGCCACAATTGAAATGCAGAGGTAAGCTGCTCCCGGCCTGCCCGCCCCGTGGCGCGGCTGCGCTGCCGCAGGGCCGCGGGGATGGGGGGGGAGCGGAGCCGCGGAACGGGACGTGGGCTGCGCTCCGCTCCGGGGTCCCCGGTTCTGAGATCCTTCTGCTCCTGGGGTGCCCCCCCACCTCCCCCCCCCGCGTTCCTGCGGTCCCCGATCCTGGGCTCTTCCACCTTCTGGGCTGTCGCTGAGCAAAGGATCCGACCTGCTGGGATCCTGAGGTGTCGGCTGTCCTCCCCCTTTGCCAGCTCCTGAGGTCCCTGATTCTGGGGACTCTGATCCCGAAGTCTCTCTGCTCCTGGGATCTTTGCTTCTGGGATCGCTCCAGTCCTGGAAGGTTCCCTCCCGACGGTGGGGTTCTCCTGACTCCTGGGTTTCCCTCTGTTTCTGGAGTCCCCCCCGGCTCCTGGAGTCCCTGCTGTCGGGGTATCCCCCAGCTCCTGGGGTAACCCTAACTCCTGGAGTCTCTGCTGCTGCGGTCCCCCTGATGGTGGGATCCCTCCTCCTGGGGTCCTCTGTCCTCCAATCCCGAGGACCTCCCAATCCCGGGAGTCCCCCTTGCTCTTGGGGTCTCTCCTCCCAGGATCCCCACTCCTCCCCCAGCCTCAGGGTTCCCCCTTTCCCCCCATTTTGGCGTGGGCTCAGCACCGTACCGCCAGCCTCCAAATCCCGGTGCCCGGAGGATGCCGGTTGTTGACAGATACCGCGGCACAGCGGCGGTTCCCACCCCGGGCTGGCACGCGTGGCACCACGTCTGGCACGGGGTTGACCTGGATTCGCCGCCGCGGTTGCGAACGAAAGTCCTTGTCTCACTACAGCGAGAAGGAGACGCCGAGCTCCCCCCCCCCCCCC